TTACAGTATAGAGCACAGCAAAAAAATACATTTAAAGTAATGCTTTTCCCTTTTCATTTATGTAATCACAGTAATTATCTTTTTTTGCTGTACATTTTTGTTTAAATAGGAGATGAGCCACAGGGGGAGAAATAAAGCTGTCATTCACACACAGTGCAGGGCATCAATTCTTGCCTGCATTTCATCTCCTGTCCTGCCCTAAAACTGGTCGTATGACTTTAGTTAGGTCGGTATGGGCTAGTAGTCAACATCCCATGAACACTGTTTTTTACCCCATCGTGGTTTTTATAAGTGATTGATTGCTTCACCCATGTGAGCACCTTTTTATACGTTTTTTTATATCATAAACTATTACATACTTCACAAGGAGAAGGCACTATGTTCTTTCTTTTGTTTGTAATAGAAGAGATATTAGAGATATACCATATTATTATTATTATTATTATACAGGATTTATATAGCGCCAACAATTTGCTCAGCGCTTTACAAAATAGTGGAGACAGTACAGTTACAATACAATTGACAGTACAATACAGTTTCAGAACAATATGGTTGGGAGGGCCCTGCTCGTGAGGGCTTACAATCTAGTAGGAGGGGCAAGTGATACAAAAGGTAATAATTGTTTGGATTGAGTTATTGGAGGAAGTAAAAGGCAGTTATGTTGAGATGAGATAGGCTTCCCTGAAGAGATGGGTTTTTAAGGATCGCCTAAAGGTGGGTAGCATAGGAGATAGGCGGACAGATTGGGGTAAGGAGTTCCAGAGGATGGGGGACACTATGGAAAAGTCACGGAGGCGAGCATGGGAGGAGGTAATGAGGGAGCTAGAGAGCAGGAGGTCTTGAGAGGAATGGAGAAGAAGGTTTTGGTGATATTTTGAGATGAGGTCAGTGGTGTAGGTTGGGGCAGACTTGTAGATAGCTTTGTATGTTGTTGTTAGTATTTTGCATTTTATTCGTTGGGCAAGTGGGAGCCAGTGGAGGGATTGGCAGAGGGGGACGGCAGACACTGAACGGTTAGTAAGGTGGATGAGTCTGGCAGCAGCATTCATGATAGACTGAAGGGGGGATAGCCTGCTTAGTGGTAGGCCAACAAGGAGGGGGTTACAGTCGAGACGAGAGATTACAAGGGAGTGAATTAGAAGCTTTGTGGTTTCGTTTGTTAAAAAGGGGCGTATTTTGGAAATGTTACGGAGGTTGAGTCGGCAAGATTTGGATAGTGATTGGATGTGGGGCTGAAAGGAGAGCTCAGAGTCAAGGATAACACCAAGTACCCTGGCTTGATGGGAGGGGTTGATTGTAGTGTTGTTGATTGTGATGGGGAAGTTGGGGGAGGGAACACGGAGAGGAGGAAATATTAGAAGCTCAGTTTTTGACAGATTGAGTTTGAGGTAGTGGTGTGGCATCCATGCTGAGATGTCACTGAGTAGATTTGAGATAGGTGTAGAGACAAAGGGGGTGAGTTGAGGAGTGGAGAGATAGATCTGGGTGTCATCGGCATAAAGATGGTATTGGAAGCCATGGGAGGCTATCAATTGACCCAGGGAAGAAGTGTAGATAGAGAATAGAAGGGGCCCAAGGACAGACC